CACTGTTGGTCGTTTTGATGTAACTTAGGATTTAATTTTCGGCCTATTTCCTCTTTTGTCTGCTTGTCCGGCTCCACAATCCCCGTTCAGGCTTTTTTTTCTAGTTGGAAACAGTTCAGGTTCGGCTGTGGCTGTTTGGTTTTAATTGGAAACTATCTCTTTAAATTGCGAGGAGATCTGTGCGCATGCATAGTAGAACCCTCTGAGGGTGGGGCTGGGGTGCCCACTAGCTCAGGCCCTCCTATGGTCACCAGAATGGAGGTGCACAGACAGCAAGGGACCAATGTACTGCTACCGAAAGAAAGGATGTCCACACCTTTATCTCAGCGGTTCTGCTAGGTGTCTGTGGCCGTTCCGATCCTTTCCCCGCATGGTCTTATCCAAGATGATGGCTCCTGGAGCAGGTGAGCATCCCGGACTAGAAAGCAATAGATTTCTTGCTTCTGCCACAAATTCCCCCAGTTGTGAGCTTTCCAACCTTCTAAGTATTCCTTTATATGTGGTTCAGAGTTCTGGGACCATCCCCTGAGCCTGCTTGGTCGGGTATTCTGTGTTGTTGTTGGCGGAGCTCTTTGCTCTTTTATGGCCTCTTAAATAACAATTTAGTTGATTTTTTTTGCTTTTGTTTTTAAATCAAAGTCCTCGAAATTTGCTTGTTGTAACTCAGAAAGTGCAGATCAATAGTAGGTTCTCTCCTAGTTTCTAATCTGTGTTTTCTGGATCCCAATGCTATTTTCTCCAATACTATGGTAAAATAGGAGGCGTGGTGTGGCGCTGTGGGCCAATGTGTCAGATTGTAAAGTCATTTGAACTGCAAGGTCAGTGGTTCAAGCTCACCAGCTGCTCCTTGGAAACACCATTCAGGGTCGCTATGGGTCGGAATCAACGGCACTTAACAACAACAACAAAATGGTAAAATAAAGAGTTACACAACATTTTAAATCACTTTTATGCCATTTAACCTTGCGAGATCATCTTAACTAGTCCTCTTACCCAGACATGCCATCAGAATGGTGTAACAGTCTTCCCCTTTTTAATAACAAGGCCAACAAAATACATTTTTAAATAATGATCAAGGATTTTTTTATTCATTAAGTTTCAGTATCATTACAGAAAATGTTATGGTACAGAGTAGTGTATCATTATTTTTTCTTTGCTCTTAATTTCCACATGAATGCTGGTAACACTAATATCTGTACAAGATCAGTCTTTGATTTTATTTTTTTGTTCTGTACAATTTTGAATGTATTGGTTAAAAAGGCTGTCAGCACTTAAGGAAGCAGTTTGTCCCCCAGTTTGTTTGTTCAAATAAAAGGTATCCAGTTACTGCTCAAGAGTACTGTGCCATGAGGCTGCTGGGGTAAGAGGCCTCCCTGGATGCTCTGCAAGGGATGGTGCTCCGTGAGGGGGGACAGGCCTCCCCCAGCCACTCTCCTTTTGGCACTGTGCACATAAACACGAGAGACATGATAAAGAACAAGCAAAGGCTCTCCTAAAGCGGTTATGAAGCATACTAAGAAGGGAAATCCAAGTGTTGCCTACGCTAGTATAAATAAGCAGACAGCCTTGATTTAAGAGCATAAGTAGTTGTATTTTAAAGATGAGAAAAACACAAGTTCTGCAGGCACCTACTGCTGTCTACTAAAAGCTATCGCTATCAGACCTAGCATTGAACACACAAAGCAATTTGCAAGAAAGGAAAAATTTGCTTTGATATAATCAGAATAGAGTTGTTTGTTAAGATTTATCTTTAGGTGTATTTTTCTTTAAAAGGTATTTAAATTCATTTGAAATATAGTTCAAGATGTTGACTATACAGATCAACTTTTATCCAAATCAGAAAAACTAGCTGTGCCCTTGCATATTACAGGATACAGTCAATGATATGTGGCCATGCATTGAAGCTTCCTTCTGTGGGTGATCATCATAGCCGCCCGATGACCATGACGTCCACCACCTCGCCCTTGTGTAGCTCCACGTACTGCTCTGTCTTTGGAGGTAGCATCAACAACCCGTTGGCACTGCGCATACTCATCAAACGGCTGCTCATTTGATTACCTAGGAAGAGACACACTCATTACACCAGCATAAGCACCAATAGATATATTTGGAGTCCTTGAGGTTCTTTTCAAAAGAAAAACTGGCCACAGAAACATAGACCTTTGAGAGGCAGAAAGATGATCCTACTTTCCAACAACTTTTTCAGGTAGTCATACAGCTGTCTCTTACTACCTTCTTACACTTTAGAAATAAGCATTAGAGATTTATTGTTTGAAAGAATAAAAGCAGGATTTTATGACATTATACAAGAAGCCACGGCTTTCTCCATTCAAGTAGAAAATTATGTTTAAAAAGACTTTTAAGATCTGTTCAAATAATAGTGATGATAACAGCAACAATTACAATTTACTTAGTATTTACTAAGTGCCAGATATGATAAAAGGCACTTTACTTAATGATCTTATTTGATTTTTACAAGACTCAAAAGACTTTAAGCAACTTGTCTATGGTCCTAGTAACTACTTAGTAGCCAATTTGAATCCAAGTCTCATGGCTGGCAAAGCCCATGTACTTAGTCACTATGTTAGTTACTGTTGGCACTTTAACAAAGGCTCTTTGCTAAAAAGTCATGTGAGTTTTCAAACGGAGCCCCAAAGGTAGATAATATGTGGCTCCAGAAGTTGGGGGTTAAAGTTTAAAAGCGGTAGGAATGTTAGAATGCTATATAATTTTTGAATATTTTATTATTTGTATTTTTTTTTATTGTTCAATTACAGGTATGGTGCTGTAGGATAAACACTGGACCACAAGGTTGGTTTGAACCACAAGGTCAGTGGTTCAAACTCACCAGCCGCCCCTCAGAAACCCTATACACGGTCACTATGAGTCGGAACTGACTCGACGGCAATTAATGACAAGAAATACAACAAAGCATTTACCATTTCTCGATTTTTACCTGTATAATTCAGTTAATTATATTGATCTTGTTATTGCTATTGACTCCTCTGCCCTTAAATTTTGCCAATATCTAGGGCAGAGGAGAGGACACAGAGAGTCAAATTATATGTGTAATTGGGTTTTTATCTCACAGCTCAGGGCCATAGAGCCCTCTTTTCCCTACAAAGTATGCTCAGAATTCACTGTTTGAATACTCCTCTATATATCTTATAGAAGCTGTGCAATTGTCTTCCATGGGTTTACATTTGTAATTTCAAATGCCTATCTAGAAAATATAGCTCAATGAAATAACTAAACTTTGGTTTAATTCGTTTTTATTCTTGTCTTATAGATGCTGTACTGTTTAGAAATAGTTTAACTCATCTAATCTAAAAGAAACAAGTATAAGTTAAAAATCAGGTATGCATAAGGAGGGCAATTATACCTAAGTTTGCACTTTAACAGGATGGGTGCACAGGATACTTGCAGGTGTGAATGACTAACCTGTACTCTGTGCCCAAGGCAGTGGTTCTTGGTGATGCCAAGTCAGTATACACCGATGGTACTCTGGGCGAGGATCCAGTTTCACATCACATGATAACTACAGAATAAAGAGAAAAGGAGCTTGGTCACTTGATCACCTCTCAAAACTTCAGGGTGGTGGAGGTTGTGCAAGCAATAGAGAGGATGTGGGAAATATCTGCTGTGCCCACCACAGCCACCTGACGTTCTTAACAGAGGAAGTCGAGAATGCTCCTTAGAAGCCTGGATGGAAAGACTTTGTCTCTCATACTTTGGACATATTATCAGGAGGGATCAGTTCCTAGAGAAGGACATAAAGCTTGGTAAAGAGGAGGGTCAGCAAAAAAGAGGAAGCCCACTCCTCACCCCCCAATGATATGGATTGGCACAGTGGCTGCAGCAGAGGACTCAAGTTTAACAACAATTCTGAGGATGGCAAAGAACTGGGCAGTGTTTCGTTCTGCTATGGATAAGGTCGCTATGAGTCGGAACTGCCTCAATGGCACCTAACAACAACAACAAGGTATTAAACTGTTTTATCTGGAGGAAAAGCAAAAGCTAAGAAGCTGGTGTTCATGATGAAGAAAAGGGCAGATAAAAAGAATACAGTCTACTGTTGAGGTTTACTTGTATGAGTTTAATGAATACAATGAATTGAGAAATCAAAGCAGGTATACTACCACTGAAAATAAAGGTCTAACATCTTTAATTTATTTATAAGTTTATAAATTATTTATACTTTTTATAAATATATTTTACCATAAGCATTTACATAAGTGTTTATACCACCACTTGTCTGTTAGTTTGCTGTTTGCATGTCGCTGTGATGCTGGAAACTATGCCATTGGTATATAGAGGTGGACCATTTCTGAATGTCTAAACAATGAAAACCTTACAAATAGCAGTGAAAAACTGTCAGATATTACCAGAATATTGAATACTGAAACATGATGAGTGGCACCAGAATGTAGTAAGATCCAGTAACAGAACATGAACCCCTTAGGCTGGAAGGCACTCAAAACCTAACTGGGGAAGAGCAGCCTCCTGAAAATCCAGTTAACTGGGATGACAAGAATGGAATAAAGCTTTGGGGACCTTCACGGGCTGATGGGGCACAGCTCAAAATGAGGAGAAACAGCTATTAATAAATGGAACATGAAATGCATGAAATATGAATCTAGGAAAATTGAAGTTGTCAGAAATGAACAGGAATGTATAAAGTTCAATATCCTAGACATCATTGAGCTGAAATGGACTGGTACTGTCCATACTGAATCTGACAAACATATGGTTTACTATGCTGGGAATGACAAATTGAAGAGGAATGACATCACATTCATCATCAAAAAGAGCATTTTAAGATCTATCTTGAAGTATAATGCTATCTGATAGGATTAATTACCACTATTATTCAAATTTATGCACCAACCACTAAACCCAGTGATGATGAAATTAAAGAATTCTATCAATTTCTTCAGTAGGAAACTGATCAAATATGCAATCAACATGTACTGATAATTACTGGCCAAACATATCATTTTGGTTTAGTCACATCATGAAAAGAGCTCTTGATGACTTTCCTACGCAATGACAAAGAACAAAGAGATCCTTGACTTCTGCATAGCAACTTCAGTTCATATATACGATCTCACAGAAAGACAAACTGATGTTGACGTCTTTGGTGTGCATGTCATTAAATTCATTCTGGTATTTGAATAAGCTAAAGTGACAATGTGCTAGTAGCAGGAACCTAAGAGGTATTTCTTGAACATGTTTGTTGTTAAGTGCCGTTGAGTTGGTTCCGACTCATAGCAACCCTGTATAGGGTTCCCGAAGAACAGATGGTAGGTTTGAACCACTGTGGTTCAAATCTACCTGTGGTCCAGTGCATTATCCTACAGTACCACACTAGGACTCCTGAACATGTTTGTTGTTGTTAAGTGACATCTAGTCAGTTCCGACCCATAGCAACCCTGTAGAGGGTTTCCAAGGATGACTGGTGAGCCTGAACTACCAGGCTTACAGTTCAAACCGACTTTGCAGTCTAGCGCATTAACCCACAGTGCCTAGTTCAAGGGTTGGTTCATTATTAGGAAAAATAAGACTGATCCAGTAAAAGAGAATCAGTATTTTCCATCAGCACAATGATCACTTAAGTTAGATATCTTACAATGTCAAGAAATTCTTTATTCAACGAAAAAAAAAAAAAAGGTGTTGCTTAGATAAAAAAAAACAAAAACAAAAACAAAAAACTGTAGTTAAAATTTGAATATCCTGGAAATTCTGACTGAAGTAACAACTATCTCCAATCTATTCTAGTTACAATGTCATTAAACATTGCATATACTCTGACAAACCATGCTTTTCCTCTGGAATGCAGAATACAACTCTCTTACTTGATACTGCTTTTGCTTACACCCTATTTTGTATATACTGATGGGGTAGTTTAAAAGACAAATCCATTGCCATTGAATTGGTTCTGACTCATAGCTACCCTATTGGACAGAGTAGGATTACTCCGCTAGGGTTTCCAAGGCAGTAATCTTTATGAAGGGTAGTGCAGTAGCTCCACTGGATAAGCACAGGACTTCAAACCACAAGGTCAGAAAGATGAGGCTTTCTGCTCCCACAAAGACTTAAAGCCTTTGAAACCCTATACAGGTTTGCTATGAGTCGGAAATGAAACGACAGCACTCAACAACAACTAATAATCTTCATGAAAGCAGATGGCTACAATTTTCTCCCATGCAGCAGCTGGGGGGTTTGAACTGTCAAGCTTTCAGTTAGCAGCTGAGTGCTTCCCTACTGTGCCCCAAAGGCTCCTTACTGAAGGAATGACTTGGCATTATACCTAAATTATTTGGTGTTTCTCTGACGGTAAAGATCTCTTTCTCTGTCTGTTTCTCTGTCTGGGGTTTTTTTCCAGTATGAAGGAAATGACAAGAGCATCGATTGGTTTATGGTAGTGCAGTGGAACAAGTACTAGATTAAGAATCAGTCACCTAGGTTCTATTTCCAGCTTTACTGCTAACTTTGTTGTTGTTGTTGTTAATTGCCACAAAGTCAGTTCAACCTCATAATGACCCTGGATAGGGTTTCCGAGGAGTGGCTGATGGGTTTGAACTGCTGACCTTGTGGTTAGCAGTCCATGCATATCTTACAGCGCCACACCAGGGCACCTTACTGCTAACTGGTTGCACTGTATCAGCTAGTTGCTTTCCTTTCCTATGCCTACTCAGCTACAAAATGGGGCTCTACGACACACTGGCTAAAGTACCTTCAAGCTTTATGATTCTAAATGATTATTTTTCAGTCAATTTAAAAGTAGAAATTTATTTTGTTTTGAAGCAAGGTATTCATGTATATTTAAGAAACCAGACTCAGTTGCATGAAATTGAAGTGACTAATATTGTTTTTTCATAGTTTCTTTACAAACAGCTGTTCCTTTTACAGTAAGAGGTGAAACTAATTAGATTTTCATAGTGTTCTACTGAAAAAGAGAACAGTGTATTAGTTAACATATTTATCTCTACAGACAATTACAGCTCTGGTATTTTAGATCACTTAGCTTAAAGACATACATAATTACTACGAGTCTCAAAATGAACCACAGGTACACAAAGACAGGCAGGTTTTGGTGAAATGGCACTTTTGATGACTTTTTCTATTCATTCAAATTTGGGGAGTCATAGTGGGCTAGGACTGTTTCCTTTGCCTGGCACACCATAGTCCCCAAGAGGAAAAACTGTATTATGGTCCTGGTGTGTCACTGTAGGGTAAGCACTAGCTTGCTAACCTCAAGGTTGGCAGATCAAACCCATCAGCTACTCCTTGGAAACCCTGTACAGGGTCGCTGTGAGTTGGAACTGACTTGATGGCACCAAGCAACAGCAACATGGCCTACACATAAATACCTAAGGGAGAAGGGTCAGGAAAAAAGGAGAATATTGTCCTTCTTTGTCCCGCTCAACTTGTAGAAATGTGACCTCAGAGGATTCTCAAATGGAGTAATCAATGAATTGCAAATATCATGTAATAATGTTACCACACAACGATTTAAATGGTATAGAAGTGCACCCTTCTCAGGGATGTTGATTAAGGCGTCACAGGAGAGTTGATGCTTGAGTCTTATAGGATGAGTAGGGAGTTTCTCGACAGAGAAAGGAAGTGTTGGAGTGAGAAGAAGGAGAAGAAGCACAGGTAGGCAGGGATCCTCATGTCCATTCTGGACCATATGAGCAGATATGGTCAGAGTACAGGATGGGAAGCAGATGAAACTGGAGAGGAAAACTTGGGAAGGAGAGTCTCCCGTGTGCTCTCTTTGTATATATAGTTTACTTTGGTAGGTAATATACATGAGGATAAGGCAAAAAGTATTTCTATGCCACCCAAGAATCCTCTACCCAGCAAAGCTGTATATCAAATATGATGGTGTAATCAAAACATTCCAGGATAAACAGAAGCTAAGGGATTTTGCCAAAGCCAACCCTGCTATAAAAAACATCCTAAAGGAAGTTCTGTGGACTGAGAACCAACAAGAACACACAACAACTACAGAATGACGTACATGGCAGCATCAACCTGAACTCAGTCGACAAATGGAAGAGTCAAGAACAGAATAAAATTATAAGAACAGAGGATCTGGGAGGCCAGTCTATGATCAAAATAATTACAATGTGAAAAAGGTAAACACAGAAGAACAGCGATCCAGGTGGTGGGAAGGTCAGGTAGATTATTAGATAAAATAGACTGTCTTAAATGGAGGGAAGAACTAATGGAATATAAGGTAACCACAATGGGGTTGGGGTGGGGGGTTTATTTTGGGTGTTGGGGAGGGCAATACAAGAATGGAGGAGGAGGCAGAGGAACAAGATAGATAGGGGAACACTGAGACAGGTTTGCATGGCCTAATGGGACAGAGGTAAATAGTGATGCATACTCAACCTTGGAACAACAGGGCCCTGGAATATAGGGATCTAGTTATAGCTTGAAGAGGGGAAATAATAGTAAAATCCTTGACTGCCTTATGAATATTAGTTTCTCTTGCCTACTATTGTAAAATAGACACTTGAGTGGGAT